TGGTCCCAGTGGTGATCGGCACACTGGGTGCAGTGCCTAAAGACCTTGGTCTGCACTTAAACACAATCGGCACTGACAAAATTACCATCTGTCAGCTGCAGAAGGCCACCTTACTGGGATCCACACACATTATTTGCTATTACATCGCACAGTCCTAGACACTTGGGAAGTGTCCGATGTGTGATCCAGTTCAATAGCCAGCAGAGCGATCTTATCTGCTGTGGACTCATCTTGTTGTGTTTCTAATAATAGTAATAATAATAATAATAATAATAATAATAATAATAATAATATAGTTTATTTATATTCTGACCTATCTTCCCGACGGGACTCAGGGCAAATTACAGAACACATATACAGCAAACATTCAATGCCATTAGACAGTTAACAAAGACAGACAGTACATAAACAGAGGTAAAGGCTTCCCATCTTTTTCCATCTCCAGCATCTGGAGGCTGTATGCAACTTCGACCACAGGGAGGTGCTGTTGCTCCATCTTCCATGCTGAGGAGCTTTGTTGTCCATAGACTGTTGCAACCCAGATCAGGAAACGAGACCAAAAGATTAAATCCACCACACTTGAATGTGGGAAAAAAACAATCCTTTTTTATTGATGAAAAATGGTTACAAAATAGAGGAAAATGTAAAGTCAAAAAGCCACAGTAAAATTCAGCAGTCAGAATATCTCTGAACTAGATCATTCCAAAAGCAACACTATAAAAACCTGGAACCTGTTAGCATCTCACTAACCGTACTTGGAAACTAGAATCCTCTGGGAATGCAGGCCATGGGAAACGGGAAATCTGCCAAGGTAATGCCTCAGTCTAAACGATGCTTGATCTAACGAGACAGCCCGGGGGGAGACACTTAAAACTAAAGAAACTGTTTCGGGACACGCCTCCAGGCTTGGAAGCCTCCTTTTCCTTTAATCTACTTGACCTTCGCAAACTCTGTGATTCACTCCTGTTTTTCCAAATCTGTCCGTTTCTATCCTCATTTAAAAAGGCAGGTGTTAACTCCTCTGGAGAGTTATCACTGCTTGATTCTGAAACATTCTCATCAGGATGTCCAGTTTCACTTTCCCAGCCACTGCCCTCAGAATCAACAGTTTCCAAACCATCAGGGGAAAATACATGTTCAGTAGCCTGTTCAGTTGCATCAGGAAATACAATCAAAGAATCAGGTTCAGGTTCACACGGAGGCTGAGGGTCAGGTTCAAACGGAGGCTGAACCCCAACATAGACATCCTCCAAATCGAATCACCAGCACGTCCTTATGGGTGCCTTTTATTAGCTCCTCACTTAAAGCAGTACCTATTTATCTACCCACATTGCTGTTTTCAAACTGCTAGGTGAGCAGAAGGTGGGCTGACGATGGGAGCTCATCCCAACCCTGGCTTGAACTGTCAACCTTTCAATCTGCAATATTTTCTGCAGCTGGCGGTTTAACCCGCTGTGCTAAAGCCTGGCAAATTCTCATTCATTGAGGCTTCCAGGAAAGGCTCTGAAGACTCTGTCCATGATCAAGGACTGCCAAAACAGGACTGGAGACAACTGATGGTCCCAGAGCTGAAACCTGGCCCAACCCTTGTATAACTAAATCTAATAATAATTTCAGCTTTGACTTTTTGCGAGTATAATTGTGACCTCCCAAACAGAACCGTTTTTACTAAATCAACATATATTTTTTGTACTTGTTTCTTGGCCTCGGGCATTTTCCCCAAAATTGATTGCAGTCCCTACAGCTCCATTTCCATATTGGACCATCTTGAGAGAGAAACGTTTTTCCTCCCGCATCATTTTTCCTCTCTCTCACCCCAACGGCATCCATCATGCCGAAGCCCCAAAACAGAGCAACAAATGTCAACATTTCTTTCCCGTTTTGCCTCTGGCTGCCCATCTTTTGACCCATTCCTGGAGAGTAGAAAGTGATGGATTTGGGAGTCTGGCTGACACATTTCAAGGGAATGTCGGGTAAACAGAGAACTCAGAACGGGGCCAAATGGAAAAGAGCACCAAATCCTTTGAGAAAAGAACAGCCGGAGTCCAAATGGATTCATTCCATTCGACTGTAGTTCCAAATGTAATGGGCTGTACTCATGTATTCTTCTGTAGGTATTGCAGGATCCTGATAAGAGAAAAGCTCAATGGGAGTTGGAGTTGCACTGCTTCCTTTTGGTTCTGGCCAAAGGAGCTTAGTTAGAAGAAGCAAAACCTTGTTGAGAGCTGGCATAGGATGTCTAAATAGAGCAATGCTGCATTTTCACTATGTTAGCATAGTTAGCAGCAAGAGCCCCTGTTGGCACAGTGGGTTAAACCGCTGAACTGCAGAACTTGCTGACTGAAAGGTCGGTGGTTTGAATCCAGGGAGTGGGGTGAGCTCTCACTGTTAGCCCCAGCTTTTGCCAACCTAGCAGTTTGAAAAAAATGCAAATGTGAGTAGATCAATAGGTACTGGCCATGGTAGCCCACACTCTGGTTACATCCCATATAGACTACTGCAACACGCTCTATGTGGGGTTGCCTTTGAAGACTGTCCAGAAGCTTCAATTGGTCCAACGGACAGCAGCCAGATTGTTAACAGGAGCGGAGCTCAGGGAGCATACAACTCCGCATCCTAGTCTCCAGGGCAGAAGAAAACAAGCTTGCTCCCTCCTCCTCCCTATAACTTCCTCTTTCATATTTATACATGGCCCTCATCATGTCTCCTCTAAGCCTTCTCTTCTTCAAGCTAAACATGCCCAGCTCATTAAGCTGCTCCTCATAGGGCTTGTTCTCCAGACCCTTGATTATTGTAGTCACCTTCCTCTGGACACATTCCAGCTTAGAGTCAACATCTCCCTTCAATTGTGGTGCCCAAAATTGGACAGAGTGTGATTCCAGGTAAAGTGGCCTGACCAAGGCAGAACAGAGTGGTAGCATGACTTCCCTGGATCTAGGCACTAGACTCCTATTGATGCAGGCCAAATTCCCATTGGCTTTTTTAAGGTGCAGCATCACATTGTTGGCTCATGTTCCCCTTCCTCTCCATGAGGACTCCAAGATCTTTTCCACACGTCCTACTGTCGAGCCAGGCATCATCCCCCATTCTGAATCTTTGCTTTTCATTTTTTTTTCCTGCCTAAGTGGAGTCTCTTGCATTTGTCACTTCTGAACTTCATTGTGTTCGTTTTGGACCATCATCTCTCTAATCCAGTGTTTCTCAATCTTCCTAATGCCGCCACCCCTTAGTACAGTTCCTCATGTTGTGGTGACCCTTAACCAGAAGATTATTTTTGTTGCTACTTCACAACTGTAATTGTGCTCCTGTTATGAATTGTAATGTAAACATCCTATATGAAGGATGTATTTGCATTCACTGGACCAAATTGGGCACAAATACCCAATAATACAACCAAATTTGAATACTGGTGGGGTTGTGGAGATGATTGCTTTTGTCATTTGGGAGTTGTAGTTGCTCGGATTTATAGTTCACCTACAATCAAAGAGCATTTTGAACACCACCAATGATGGAATTGAACCAAACTTGGAACACAGAACTCCCATGACCAACAGAAAATACTGGGAGGGTCTGATGGACATTGACCTTGAGTTTGGGAATTGTAGTTCACCTACATCCGATAGCACTGTGGGCTCAAACAACGATAGATCTGGACCAAACTTGGCACAAATACTCAATATGCCCAAATGTGGAGTTTGGGGGAAATAGACCTTGACATTTCGGAGTTGTAGTTGCTGAGATTTATAGTTCACCTACAATCAAAGAGCATTCTGAACCCCACCAATGATAGAATTGAACCAAACTTCCCACACAGAACCCCCATGATCAACAGAAAATAGTCTTTGGCGACCCCTCTGACACCCATTTGTGACCTCCACAAGAGTCCCGACCCCCAGGTTCAAATAGTTTTGAATTCTGCTCCCGTCTTCTGGAGTATTGGCACTCCCTCCCAATTGTCATCTGCAAGCTTGATGATGATATCTTCTAACCCTACATCTAAGTCAAGCATCTTCAAACTTCAGCCCTCCAGCTGTTTGGATCTCCAACTCCAAGAGGCTCTAACGAGCTTATTCAGTTGTTGGGAATTCTGGGAGTTGAAAGCCCAAACAGCTGGAGGTCCGCAGTTTGAGAATGCCTGATCTAAGTCATTCATAAAGATGTTGAACAGGACCGAACCCTGCGGCACTCCACTCGTAATGAGAAGAAGAAATCAAAACAAGGCTGAAAAGGCATGATTTGAAACCAAGCTGGGAATGAAAAGACTCCAATACTTCTGTGAACGGAGGGTGTGCCGTTCCGTTGCTCAAGTGCAAAAGAGAAAAGAACAAAAAAGGCTAATGGAGGGGATGCAACCTGAGAAAAAGCTGAAATGGCTGCTTAGTGTGTTGCCAGTTGCTGGTTCAGCCCACGCCGTAGCACTAAAAACACGACACACTTGAGGTGACAAATCATTGCCTGACCTCATACTTTTTATTACTGTGTGGTCCGAATATAGGCACTTCACAACCCTATCCAATTTTCCAGATACTCTGCAAGTATATATCTTTTTCTGAAGTGTGTACAGTGGGTTCAATGACATTGGTAAGTGCTGTCAATTGCTCTGAGCAATGATCACCATAAAAGGCCTCATAGTGCCAATGCAAGAAAAAGCGGTTGGAGATGGAAAATGCATGCCATTGCCCATTTTTCTCCCACTTAGGATGGAAATACACTGCTATATAATGCATTATATGGGTCTAGACGAGGCATGGGCCAACTTCGGCCCTCCGGGTGTTTTGGACTTCAACTCCCACAATTCCTAACAGCCGGTAGGCTGTTAGGAATTGTGGGAGTTGAAGTCCAAAACACCCGGAGGGCCGAAGTTGGCCCATGCCTCGTTCACACTGAGACATGGCAATTAAAGTGGGTTCAAACTGCATTCATTCTACAGTGTAGCTGCATCCTACATCAATGACTGCAACCATTGATCGTGTTCGATTTCTTGCTCTATTTCTATCTAGATAACATAAGCAGGGAATGCACTCCCGAAGGTTGGTCCGATTTGTACCCGGAGTCTTACGGCGCAACGTGTGGTTACGACCCTAACAGCACGTTCTCAGATGAAGAGGTTAGTAATATGTATTGTCGAAGGCTTTCATGGCCAGAATCACTGGGTTGTTGTAGGTTTTTTCGGGCTGTATGGCCATGGTCTAGAGGCATTCTCTCCTGATGTTTCGCCTGCATCTATGGCAAGCATCCTCAGAGGTAGTGAGGTCTGTTGGAACTAATATATTAATTTAGATTAGTAATATATTAACAAGATAGTATTTACTTGCTTTCTTTAAGGCACATACTTTTACATTTGGAATACTTATATTTGGTGCCATGAGAGGTGATGATTCAAATATAAATCCTTGTTTCTTAGTGTGCATCTGCACTGTCGAATTAATGTAGTTTGACACTACTTTAAGTGGCATGGCTCCTCGCAATGGAATTCTGGGAGCTGCAATTTTACAAAGCCTGCAGCCTTCTCGGCCAAAGAATCCTGATGGTGACTCATGAAACTACAAATCCCAGGATTCCGTAGCCTTGAGCCCTGGCAGTGGTATCAGACCACAATAATGCTATAGTGTAGAGTTCTGAATTAGGGTTGCCATTTCAGCTTTCTGAGGGTGCATCTAGACCAGGGGTCCTCAAATTTTTTAAACCGGGGGCCAGTTCACTGTCCCTCAGACCATTGGAGGGCCGGACTATAGTTTTTTAAAAAAAAAATCAATAAAAACATTCCTATGCACATTGCACATATCTTATTTTGCTGTGTGGAAGGGCCCTGAGAGGGAGGGGGTTCTTTCTAGCCCTCTTTAGGCAGTAATTCCAGGAACAGAGAATGGGAAATCTTCCTATTTCTAGTCTGAACAAAATCTGGCTACCAGTATTAAAAAAAAACTCTAAAATTATAACTGTAAATAAAGAACAACACTCAAACACAGGGGAACTCCAGACAAGAAACAATCAGGGCCAGCTAATCACCTCTCCCTAAAAACTGTCAGGCTATGTAATGGTAATCAAGGTGGCCAATTGAAACATTCATACCTACCTCTAACAGACAAGAGTTCTTTCTCCCACCCTGGATCTTCCACAATTTTCCTACCTAAAGGTTTTCCTTGACATGAAGTCCAGTCGTGTCTGACTCTGGGGTGTGGTGCTCATCTGCATTTCTAAGTCGAAGAGCCGGCGTTGGCTGTAGACACCTCCAAGGTCATGTGGCCGGCATGACTGCATGGAGCGCTGGGGTAGCCTTCCCGATGGGCAGCGTGAGCCTGCCAAGGGAGGAGCAGCAACGTGCAGCCTACTTTTGCGTAAAGCACCTCGCGAGGTTCTTTACACGCAAGTAGGCCGCGCGGAGCAGCTGCCCTTGGCTGGCTCACGCTGCCCATCGGGCCTGATGGATAGCATGAGCCAGCCAAGGGAGGGGCACTGTGTGGGGGGGGAGCTTCTCCTCCGCGGGCCGAATAAGTGCCCTTGCAGGCCGGAAGTGGCCTGCGGACCATAGTTTGAGGACCCCTGGTCTAGACTATAGAATGAATGCAGTTTGGCACTACTTGAACTGCTTAAGGTTGATACTATAGAATCATGGGAGTTGTAGTTTGATTAGGGTTGCTCCGCCAAAGAGTGCTCGTGCCTTAGTAAACTGTAACTCTCAAGATTACATAGCATTGAGCCATGGCAATTAAAGTTGTGTCTAATCGCATTAATTCAACTGTGCAAAGACATCCCTAGTTTTCTCCATTTCACCTTTTTTGCCAAGAGTTCTGGTGCCTCGCCAAACTACAATTCCCAGGCTCTGTGTGCTAGACCTGGGTTTCTTAAACTGTTGGGGTAACATTAAAAAAATCAGCAAGAATCAAAGATTTCTGAATGACACCTAGACATTTACGCGGATCTGTTAGTATTATAGTGGTCTCTCTGCAGAAGAAACTTCTGCTGTTCTCCATCCGTTAGCTGCAATGGCCCACGTTTTGTCACATTGCCACCTCCAATGTATATGCATCCAAAAGCAAAAGAAATCCTCAAGAAAGTATTAAGAGACTATTGTTTGCGTTCCTTTGGTAACGGAGCATTTCTGCAAGGTGTGAATCCACCGTTTCCTGGAAGCATGAGCTGGGAGTTCCCCTAATTGCTTTGCAGCCCTGTTTAGACCTCCTGAGAAGCGTCATTGGCATTCCTGGCAGGAAGCAACTTGTTGCAAACTTTGAGGTTTAAAATTTTCTCCCTGTTTGAACTTTGAGCACAGGGAGGCAACAAGAAGCCAACCACTGTAATCAACAACTGAGCAGGTAGGCTGTCAGGAATTGTGGGAGTCAAAGTCCAAAACACTCAGAGGACCCAAGTCTACGCTGTAGAATTAATACAGTTTGGCACCACTTGAATGCCATCAATCCTAAGAGCTGTAGTTTAGTGAGACTTTAGTTCTCATTGCCAGAGAAGTTTGAAAGATCTTATAAAACCAGAACTCTCGGGATGCCATAGTATTGATCCATAGCAGTTCAAATGGTGTCCAACTGCCTTAATCTTACAGTGTAGATGCTTACTTACTTAGTTACTTACTTAGGCGATCCATCATAGCCTGAGGATGATGGTCCTTCAAGTGCAGTGTCTTGGCGGCAGGTTGTAGGTGGCTGTGAAGCCCTATTTTTGATCCTCGTGTTCTCCCGCCGTGAAGACATCGGCTTCCAGGTGGAAGGCGGTCCCAGTCAGAGTTGGCTTGATGCCCCTCCTCTTGCCACATTTCTCCCTTTTGCCCTGCATTTGTGCCTCTTTGAATTCTGCAGCACTGCTGGTCACAGCTGACCTCTAGCTGGAGCGCTCAAGGACCAGGGCTTCCCAGTTCTTGGTGTCTATGCCACAGTTTTTAAGGTTGGCTTTAAGCCCATCTTTAAATCTCCTTTCCAGTCCACCAACATTATATTTCCTGTTCTTGAGTTGGGAGTATAGTAACTGCTTTGGGAGACGGTGATATTTGGGCATTCGGACAATGTGGCCAGTCCAGCAGAGTTGATGGCGTAGGAGCATCGCTTCAATGCTGGTGGTCTTTGCTTCTTCCAGCATGCTGACATTTGTCTGCCTGTCTTCCCAAGAGATTTGCAAGATTTTTTGGAGGCAACACTAATGGAATTGTTCGAGGAGTTGAGTGTAACGTCTGTAGACAGTCCACGTTTCACAGATATATAGTAGGGTTGGGAGGACAATAGCATATGTAGATGCATTCAAAGATATCTTAGGACCTATCTTAGTGTAGATGCACTCCAAGATATCTTAGGACCTATCTTTGTGTAGATGCACTCCAAGATATCTTAAAACCTATCTTAGTGTAGATGCACTCCAAGATATCTTAGGACCTATCTTAGTGTAGCTGCACCCCAAGATATCTTAGGACCTATCTTAGTGTAGATGCACTCCAGGATATCTTAGGGCCTATCTTAGTGTAGATGCACTCCAAAATATCTTACGACCTATCTTAGTGTAGATGCACTCCAAGATATCTTAGGGCCTATCTTAGTGTAGATGCACTCCAAAATATCTTAGGACCTATCTTAGTGTAGATGCACCCCAAGATATCTTAGGACCTATCTTAGCGTAGATGCACCCCAAGATATCTTAGGACCTATCTTAGTGTAGATGTACTCCAAAATATCTTACGACCTATCTTAGTATAGATGCACTCTAAGATACCTTAGGACCTATCTTAGTGTAGATGCACTCCAAAATATCTTAGGACTTATCTTAGTGTAGATGCACTCCAAAATATCTTAGGACCTATCTTAGTGCAGATGCACCCCAGGCTATCTTAGGACCTATCTTAGTGTAGATGTACTCCAAAATATCTTAGGACCAATCTTAGGGTAGATGCACCCCAAGATATCTTAGGTTGAAACAGCATTGCATGGTCAGTGTAGATTTATAAAATGCAGTTTAACTGCATTGAACTAGGTCATATCAGTCCACCTTGAACAGATGATGCAATTTCAGGCTGTATTATATAGCTGTGTAGATGGGGCCATAGTCAATATTATTCTATGATATTTCCCTTTTAGTTCCTCCTACAACAATTGAGAATTCTATTCTATATTGTTCTTTGGTTGCCAAAACTGTGATGTCCTCTGGCACAGCCTGATGCAATCTGCTTCTTCTAAACACTACAAATTGTGATAAATAAATAAAATCAACCACATTCCTAAAGAACATTAATATTAATTTGACAATGAAACATCTTAGTTGCATGTATTATTATTGGCCAATATACCACATCAGCCACTTTAGGCTTAGGGAGCATATTCACAGTCAAATGAGTGTAGTTTGACACCACTTTAATTGCTATGGCTCGTTGCTGTGGAATCCTGGGGGTTGTCGTTTACGAACTTACAATCCTATGATGAGCTTGGTCTGGAAGTTGGCCAGGACAGCGACCAAATGTCACTAAAGGGGCACACATCTTTTCACGAATGACTCAAACTGCATACTACGAACTTGCACAATACGTGAACATAACTGTAGTGGGAACGAAAGAGGCAGAAACTGTTTCCAAGTAGCGTTTGAAATATTGTAAACTGATGATCTGATTGTTTGAAAAGAAGATGTAAGCAAGTGATGGCTTATTTTTCTCCCTTTCCAGACGGTATTCTATGGCACTGTCAAAACTGGCTACACCATCGGATACAGCTTGTCGCTCATTGCTCTCACCATAGCCATGATTCTCCTGTGTATTTTCAGGTAAGGAGGAGTAGGCTTTCTGGGCTGTGTGTTTGCCTTTGAGGAGTATAGTGTGGCAAGTCAATGGTTGACAGTGGAAGACTTGGGTTAGGGTTCGAATTCTCCCTCAAAGGTGGAACTGAGGCTCTTTCTACACCAGTGGTCCTCAACCTTCCTAATGCCGGGACCCCTTAATACACTTCCTCATGTTGTGTTGGCCCTCAACCATAACATTATGTTCGTTGCCACTTCATAATTGTAATTTTGCTCCTGTTATGAATCGTAATGTAAATACCTGATATGCAGGATATATTTTCATTCACTGGATCTTTTTTGGCACAAATACCCGATACGCCCAGATTTGAATAATGGTGGGGTTGGGAGAGGGGATTGATTTTGTCATTTGGGAGTTGTAGTTGCTGGGATTTATAATTCACCTACAATCAAAGAGCATTCTGAATTTGACCAATGATAGAATTGGACCAAACTTGGCACACAGAACTCCCATGACGAACAGAAAATACTGGAAGGGTCTGGTGGGCATTGACCTTGAGTCAAAGTCCAAAGCAACATGCTGGTTCTCCAGAACAGTGGTCCTGAACCTTCCTAATGCCGTGACCCCTTAATACAGTTCCTCATGTTGTGGTGACCCCCAACCATAACATTATTTTCATTGCTACTTCATAACTGTAATTTTGCTCCTGTTATGAATCATAATGTAAATATCTGATATGCTGGATGTATTTTCAATCACTGGACCAAATTGAGCACAAATACTCAATACACCCAAATATGAGTACTGTTGAGGCTGGCGGCGGGGGGGGGGGGGGGGAGGATTGATTTTGTCATCTGGGAGTTGTAGTTGCTGGGATTTACAGTTCACCGACAATCAAAAGCATTCTGAACTTGACCAATGATGGAATTGGACCAAACTTGGCACACAGAACTCCCATGAGCAACAGAAAATACTGGAAGGGTCTGGTGGGCATTGACCTTGAGTTTGGGAGTTGTAGTTCACCTACATCCAGAGAGCACTGTGAACTCAAACAATGATGGATCTGGACTAAACCTGGCATGAATACTCAACATACCCAAATGTGAACACTGGTGGAATTTGGGGAAAATAGACCTTGACATTTGGGAGTTGTAGTTGCTGGGATTTATAGTTCACCTGCAATCAAAGAGCATTCTGAATCCCCATCAATGATAAAAAATGGACCAAAATTCCCACACAAAACTCCCATGACTAACAGAAAATATTGTGTTTTCTGATGGTCTTTGGCGACCCCTCTAACACTCCCTTGCGACCCCCCCAGGGATCCTGACCCCAGGTTGAGAGACACCTACACTGCCATATATCCCAGGATCTGAACTCAGGTTATCTGCTTTGAACAGGAGTATATGAATCTCCACTTCCAGATAATCTGGAATAAGAAGACAATCTGGGATCAGATCCTGGGATATGGGCCCAGTGTAGAAGGGGCCTGAGTTAAAGAACTAGAACTGGGCAGGAGAGAAGCTAAACTTCACAATGTTGTCTACTTTTCCAAATGCTTCTTTCTGTTCTTTTCCTTCCAGGAAACTCCATTGCACTCGGAACTATATCCACATGCACCTTTTCATGTCCTTCATCATGAGAGCGGTGGCGGTTTTTGTCAAAGATCTCATCCTCTTCGAGGGCGGAGAGTCAGACCACTGCTTTGCCACCACGGTCAGTTGATGGTTTTTGTTTTGGGGCCAGTTGGGTTTCAAGAAGTGGAGCTTTCATTTACTCAATTTCTATTCCTCATACGTTAATCTTGTATGACAACTCCCATCATCCATCTTCAGCTTGACCATACTCCCTGTTTGTAGTTATCTGGAATTTTAGTTATCTGGAGGGTGCTAGGTTGGAAGATGTTAGCCCAGTGGTTCTCAACCTGTGAGTCCCCAGATGTTTTGGGAGTTGTAGGCCAAAACACCTGGGGATCCACAGGTTGAGAACCTCTGGCTTAGCCCAATACACTGTCCCTTCTACACTTCCATATATACTATCCTGCTTTCCTTGTGGATGAACAATAGGGTTGCCATGGTGGATGTGGGATGGATCATGGAGCAGGATGAGGTCCCATAGATCTCCATCATGGGATGAAGGTACCTGTCCTTCATCTTCCAAACGTCTGCTGTTGCTGATGGAAAGCATGGAGAAGCCCCTTGCTCCAAGTACCTCTTCATAATAGCTATGTTAGAAAGGATCCTCTGCAGGTGATAGTTTTGATTTGGAAGATGAGGGAAGACAGGCATCTTTGTCCTCCTTGAAGAAGCTTTATGTTTGCCTTCATACCTCATTCTATAATAATAATATTATAAAAATAACACTTTATTTGTACCCCGCTACCATCTCCCCATCTCGGTGCGGCTTACATGAGGCCGAGCCCAAATACAATACAAGCAATAATAACAACAATACAAGCAATTAAAATAAAAACATGGACAATAAAAATGCAATAATTAACAATAAGACAACACACAATTAAAACTGTGGGTAGGCCAAATGTAAAGTTAAAATTGGAAGTAATGCCAGGGCATGGGCAAAAAGATGAAAGTGGTGTTTGTGGAAACATACAAGCAGACCTAAAAATGTAAAGTGCTTTGGAGGACAAAGTGCTATGGGAACATTATTCTGGGAAGGCACACTGGAGCAACCACATCTTCAAACTCCTCCTAAAGACTGCCAGGGTTGGGGCCTGCCTGATGTCCTTAGGGAGTGAGTTCCAGAGTCGAGGGCCACCACCAAAAAGGCCCTCTCTCTCGTCCCCACCAATCGTGCCTGCGATGCAGGTGGGATCGAGAGCAGGGCCTCTCCAGATGATCGAAGAGATCATGTGGGTTCGTATACAGAGATGTGGTCACCTAGGTAGGCGGGTCCCAAACAGTTCGGGGCTTTGTAGGTAAGAACCTGCACCTTGAATTGGGTCCGGAAAATGAATGGCAGCCAGTGGAGCTCCTTGAACAGGAGGGTTGACCGCTCCCTGTAAGGAGCCACAGTTAACAACCTGGCTGCCACCCGTTGGATCATCTGGAATTTCTGAGCCATTTTCAAGGACAGCCCCACGTAGCTCCACCACAATCTGTTCAGGATACGTATAGAATGGGAATACCTCAATTTTCTGACTGAGATAGAATTTGGAGATCTTGACCCCTTGCAAAACATGTGCAGCAAGGCAACTTGCAGGAACTTTGGTTGCATTGGTACAGGAGCTTGGGACATGCCATCACTTTCAATGTCCAGAAAGCTGCCTAGAAAAAAAAAACATAACCAGCTGACATTGCCTTTTTTTTTGCTCTTTACTTGGGAAAAGGTTGAGAAGGGTTCAACATCATGGTTACAGCTTTGACGGATATGAATGCTGCGTACACCAAGTATTATGCAACAGGAAAACAAACAAGTATTTCCCATTCTGAACGTTGCACAACTCAAATGTTATGCAAAAACTTGAGTTGACTAAAGCTGTAAGCTTTGCCATTTTGAATATTGTATGGTTTTCTGTTTCTGTGCTGAAAGTTACACAGTTTCTGGAAAAACCATGCTGTTTTGCTGGGTGAACTGTGCAAGTTTCATAGAAAAACTGCACAATTTTCTATCATTTTGGGGCATGTCCGAAAGCTACAGGAGAAACTTCTACTTCAATATCTATTGAGATCTGAAAAACTGAGATATAGTTCAAGGTTAAAGTCCTGTCCTGCCTCCACTCTTGCAACTCTAGGTAACAAATTTGTTTTATTTTTAAATAATGATGTTGCAAACTTTGGCAAAAGGGAAGGTGGGAAAAGGACCTTTGACTTCCATGGCTCCAAGCCTGCCTAGCTCTGCGCAACGTCAACCGCTCCAAATAGGATGTTGATTTTAGCTGTCGGAGTTTAGAGCCACGAAGCTCCGGCAGACTTAACAAACGTTGACGCATAATGCTAACCAGTCCTTCCAGTTCCATCAGGTGCCTTGCTGAGCGCTCAGTTGTGTTGAACAATATGTTCTTTTATGTTTAAGTTTTGAGCCTTTTCAGATCCAGTTCCTCATTTTGATTCTCAAGTTGACAAAAAGAGTCATTTCCATGTGTTGTCAAAGGCTTTCATGGCCGGAATCACTGGGTTGCTGTGAGTTTTCCAGGCTGTATGGCTATGTTCCAGAAGCATTCTCTCCTGACATTTTGCCCACATCTATGGTAGGCATCCTCAGAGGTTGTGACCTCATAACCTCTGAGGATGCCTGCCAGAGATGTGGGAGAAATGTCAGGAGAGAATGCTTCTGGGACATGACCTTACAGCCCAGAAAAATCACAATAACCCAGACTCATTTTCACCCAAACTTTGATCATGTTGAATTGCTCAAAATGGGTCTTGTTGGCCAACCCAGACTTATTTCCACCCAAACTTTGATCATGATGGATGTGCTTGAAATGGATCTTTTTGGCCAATGTCTCCAGCTCTAGAAAATTTACATTGAGTACCTATTTAATTTGTTTTATCTTACTGCAGATATTTATATCCTGATCTATATCTGAAGCCTTTGGGGCAAAAGATACAGTCAACTTTCCAAATTTGCTAGGGATTAGAAGCACAAGACCCCATGAAAGTGAAAAACAAATAAAGACATTGTTATTTTTGTACCTGAGACTTTTCTAGGAATGTGTTCTTCCAAGTCTGCAGAAGACTTAGTACCAATTCACAGTACACAATTATAGTTGTGTAATTCCACTTTAACTACCATGGCAACACCCTGTGGAATCCTAATTTAGGAAGGCAATAGAGATCCCTGGTTGAGGCTCCATCTATACTGCCATATAATCCTGTTTGAAATTGTATTATGTGGTCAGTTTTGCAGCATTGAACTGCTTATTTGAATCTACACTGACCACATAATGACAGTGTAAATTGGGCTATGGATAGGTCACATACTCTGCCTTGGAGAAGGTCAATGGTGAACCTCCTTAAGTTAAGTCACCACTACACCACTGGCAATTACACTGTTTGACCGGTATTGCACCACCTGACATCCGCCAGGAAGTAGCAGCCAATAGTGAAAGGACCAAGGCAGAGACATCTCCAGCTCATCCCCTGTTTGGGTATCAGCCAGCACACCAATGACTTAAATCAAGGAATAGTTTTCTAAGATCTACAGAGACACTCGCTGGAACACCTCAGCAAGCAAGAGTCCAAAAGTGGCAGGCTCAAACCCAGAACCTCAATCAATGGCTGAGACCAGATGAGAGACTTCCCCCTGGGCACGCAGAAGACTGGGTGACTTGGAAGGCGCTGAACAGACTGCGCTCTGGCACCATGAGATGCAAAGCCAATCTTAAGAAATGGGGCTACAAAGTGGAATCCACAACATGCGAGTGCAGAGAGGAGCAAACCACTGACCACCTGCTGCAATGCAACCTGAGCCCTGCCACATGCACAAGGGAGGACCTTCTTGCAGTAACACCAGAGGCACTCCAAGTGGCCAGCTACTGGTCAAAAGACATTTAATCAACTACCAAGCTTGTAAACTTTGTGTTTTGTTTGTTGTTTGTTTGTTTGTTAAAATGCTATACGATTGTCTGGATGCTGCTGACACAATAAATAAATAAATCTCAGGAAAACCCTAATAAAGAGTCTCCACAAATCAGAGAGAACTTGAAGGCACTCAACAGCAAATCTCACATAGTTCTGATCCAAAATGCCCCATTTTCCTAGTCTTGCCCATAAGATGTGAACACATCAGAGGGAATTTTGGCCAAATCTGAACAGAATTCAAACTAAGCTGGAGGCATAAAATTCTCATGGCAGAGGACTTTGCCCCGCAATATTGATGGTCACTTGCCTTTCCAACAGTATTCTGGGAACAAGGCCATATATCCTTTCATATCATCATTCCCAAAGGAACAGTAAAAGAAGTGAGTGGCAATGGGATTTGCATCCCATTGTTCAACCCTACACTCCTCCAAACTGAAGGATGCCTCAACCTCCTCCCCATATGTCACTCCTGACATTCCTTCTTTCCAAATTCAAAAGGAACATTTCTGCAGGAGAACTTTCAGTTCTTCTCTAAGCAACGGTTTCATACCGAGAAGTGTGTGTACAGTGTGTTTGGTGCAATGATGTCACTGACACTCCAAGCAAAGGAAGGAAACATTTTCCGACTCGACATTTCTTTCGGAACATCGTCTGCAGCAAAAACAAAACAGAAGAAGAAAAGAAAGATGAGGTTAATAAGGTGCAGGCCAGGGTGTTATTTCTGATTCATAGCAAAGTCTCCTTCTTAGACCTTTCAAAAAGGCAAGGAACTACATGTGGAGAGGGAAGAAGATAATTCTGAGAAGTATTCGGAGGAGGTCCCATCTGTAGTGACAGCAACAGCTTCCAAATTACTTCAGCTACACAACCTCTGAGGATGCCTGCCATAGATGTGGGTGAAATGTCAGGAGAGAATGCTTCTGGAATATTATTATTATTATTATTATTATTATTATTATTATTATTATTATTATTATTCTGCTCTATGTCCCCAGTGGGACTCAAGGCGGATTACAAGCACAAAAGGCAAACATTCAATGCCCAAATACAACAATACATCCATAGTAATGAAATTTAGCAACCCAACATATAAACACAAATTATGACTTAACTAAAATTAAATTAAAAAGGCAGCCTGTTATATCAGACATAAGACAAAACATCAAACAGAAGCAT